GGGCAGCCCCTGAAGTGGAGGGCTGTGGCTTTCCATCCTAAGATTAAGACAATATGGATGGAGGATCTAGAGGGGTAGAGCAGTCAATGCACTGAATTGCAGGCAGTATGGCTCATGATCACCCAGGAGCCCTCCCCTATAGTTGTCTGCACTAGAGCTGGGCCATCTATCAGGGCTTGACCTTGTGGCAACCAACATGGTACCATGCCAACTGGATGGTTGGTCACCAACCCCTTTGGGCGCAAGAGTTGTGACAAGACCTATGGGACTCTGGTCAGACTAAGACACTTACCGTATATCATGTGACTGGCCATTTGCCTTTGGCATCCCCAGGGAATGATGAAGCAGACACATTGGCCCAGGTACATTGGCTAGAAGGAAAGCCTGCTTCTGATGTAGCTCAATGGTTACATCAGTGTTTGTTGCATGCAGGGCAAAAGACAATGTGGGCTGTAGCTCATTGGTGGGACTTGCTGTTGACCTTTGAAGAAGTCAACAGAGCCTGGACGGAGTGCCTTTTGTGCTCTAAGAGGGAACACTGAGGGCTGCAGCAACCTGGGACAATAGTAAGGGGGCCAATACCCCTTGTCAGGTGGCAGATTGTTGAAATCTGGCCTGAAGTCAGACACCAATAGTGTATGGTGCTGGTCAGTTCACTTATGGACAGTGCTAAGGCATTTTAATGAGAAACCCCAAAAAGGAGCATTGAGCCCTATGGAAATGCTAACACACATTGCTGCCTCTCCTATACAACTGTATGTGCAGACCAAAGAGGAGTTATTGAAGCCAGGATATGGCCAGCAGAGCAACATCCTGCTGCCTGCCCCAACTGCATTAAACCCTGGAGACTCCACTGAGTGGACATGGCCCTGGACATTTTGATACATGAACCAGCAATGGCTGGCCCTTCTGGCACCTTGGGGACAAGGCCTGAAAGCTGGCCTCCTGTGTGGTCCTGGAGTAACAGCAGAATGGCCCCCAAAGATCATGGCAATGTATCCAAAACATCCAGGAGGTAAGAGCATCTTACAGGGAAGTTTTGTTTTATCTTTATGGCCAGTACATGTACGTCCCGTAGCCCTATATATTGACCCATCTGTAACTCCCACAGGGAGTGGGGGGGAAAGTCTGGTTTACTAGACCAGGACGAGATCCCATTGCTGCCGCTGTCCTACCACAGCACAGCTCTCTTGCATGCATCCTACCTGATGGACAAGATTTGCTTATGCTGGTGTCATTAAAACATGTATCTTATTGCCCTTAAGGTTATTTTCTTCTACAGTTCCTGTGACCTGGAACCACCCCCTGACTGCAGCTGCCACGTAATGAGTGCTCTGAACTTACTATCCATTCAGCTATTGGTGCCTGTGCAATCGGCATGCTGTGGACTTAATCTGCATAGGACTTTGAATTTAGCTGAATCCTTCAGCTTAAGGATTATCATGATTTTATTGCTGTTGTTATTGTATGTTATTTATCTGGTCACAATGCTCCCATTTTCTCACAGAGAGCCCATTGGGGAAGATGGGGAGTGAGTAGATTGTGAGGCAAGATTTACAAGGGGTGGGCTGTGGGTAAAATTGCAGTATTTCTAGAATCTCTTGCCTGGCCTTAGTGCATCTCCATATCAATAGGTGTTTCCAAGAGGTGGAGAGAAGTAGTCCATCTCCATATCAATAGGTAATTACAAGGGGGAGTGAGGGCATATCTGGACCAGGGACTTTGGGTAGGGTCCCTTTTTGCAGCCAGGCCGAGAGAGAGTAGTGGACAACTGCTGGTAAGCAATAAATGGACTTCTCCCACTTTATTTCTCTCTTTGACTGACTTCTGTTTCAAAGGTATTTTGCCCCAGACTAGAAACAGATTCCCCCCTTAGGGTGCTGGGTAGTATTTTGGGGCCCTTGGATCCTATTTTTGAGCTGTCCTTAGAATATCACACCATGTAGTTGGGCACCATTACTTTAGCTTGGAAGGTATTCCAGAATAATAAAATTTAATTCTGTTAACACTGTTACTGTTGATGTCACAAAAAGGATGGAGCTGTGGGCCTTAAAAAGATTCACACAGACAGATAAAACACTACTCTAGTATGTTTGAAGTACTCTGCATTATTTTTAAAAAATAATCACTTTTGAAAGACCCTCAAATTGATTTACTTTCTTCTTAAATAGTACTTCTTTCCTAACACTTCATTTGAAATCAAGAAAACATTTTTTATAGAAGTAGGAATGCAATCTGTAGTTGAGCCAGCTTAAATTTCTGGGCTTCAGTTTCCAGATTTTTAGGACAATTATTTTCTTTGACTATAAACTGAAAGATGATGGCCAGGGTGAATGGCTAGGGTTAAGCAAAGCAGAATTTTCTTAACTAAGTGCACATGATTCTACTTAGTCTGTGTTTACATAGTTTAAGTAAAGCTGAGAAAGACTAATTAAATTGTTACTTTAGAACAACTGGCTACATTGTATCAGATAAAAATACCATCAGAGTGGTTCAAAGAGATTATCCATTTCAGGCTCACTATGGTATAGAGCATAAAACTGGCTCTTTCCTATGACATCAATTGATATTCCATGGAATCATACTGCATAGAAGAAAATTTGGGAAAAGCTGGTGTCTGTATTTTAGCCCATCTGTGGGGTGGGGATTGATCACACCATGTTGGCAGTGGGTTTGCGAGGGCCAAGCTGTCCCTCTTTCACTCTGTGTTGTGTCTTCAGCTCCAAGCAACAAAGGAGATGGAAGAAGGCCTGCCCCAGAGTCTGGAGCCCTGGGTTCTGGCTCCTGCTCTCTCTGACCTGCGACCCTGAGCAACTCTCTTGGCTCCCCTGTATCTCAGTGCTCCTGTGCATCATACATAAAGTTGCTCTTTTCAACACAGTCTCTTTCAGCTACAAAATGCTATGGTACCACTTAAAACCATAAATGATATTCATTTCAGGTACTTCCTATGATTTAGTCTCATAAAGAGAAAGGTCCCAATTTTGTCTCTTTATCACCTAATTCCCTAGAAAGGCAATGCTAAGAACTATAGAGGAGTAGGTACTTTTATCCCATTCCTGACATTAACAAAGGAGGTCATTTTTTTCCTGCTCCCCCAAATCTTCTGTAGCACAAGAATTTGTTGCATTTTAAATAACTGCAATGCCTTTAAAAGAGTCCTTGGGAAACCATTGTGGATCAGGGCTTCCCAGCGGATTCATAGCAATTTGATGAGTAAATCATGAAGCTTAAGTATGTTTGAAGTACTCTGCATTATTTTTAAAAAATAATCACTTTTGAAAGACCCTCAAATTGATTTACTTTCTTCTTAAATAGTACTTCTTTCCTAACACTTCATTTGAAATCAAGAAAACATTTTTTATAGAAGTAGGAATGCAATCTGTAGTTGAGCCAGCTTAAATTTCTGGGCTTCAGTTTCCAGATTTTTAGGACAATTATTTTCTTTGACTATAAACTGAAAGATGATGGCCAGGGTGAATGGCTAGGGTTAAGCAAAGCAGAATTTTCTTAACTAAGTGCACATGATTCTACTTAGTCTGTGTTTACATAGTTTAAGTAAAGCTGAGAAAGACTAATTAAATTGTTACTTTAGAACAACTGGCTACATTGTATCAGATAAAAATACCATCAGAGTGGTTCAAAGAGATTATCCATTTCAGGCTCACTATGGTATAGAGCATAAAACTGGCTCTTTCCTATGACATCAATTGATATTCCATGGAATCATACTGCATAGAAGAAAATTTGGGAAAAGCTGGTGTCTGTATTTTAGCCCATCTGTGGGGTGGGGATTGATCACACCATGTTGGCAGTGGGTTTGCGAGGGCCAAGCTGTCCCTCTTTCACTCTGTGTTGTGTCTTCAGCTCCAAGCAACAAAGGAGATGGAAGAAGGCCTGCCCCAGAGTCTGGAGCCCTGGGTTCTGGCTCCTGCTCTCTCTGACCTGCGACCCTGAGCAACTCTCTTGGCTCCCCTGTATCTCAGTGCTCCTGTGCATCATACATAAAGTTGCTCTTTTCAACACAGTCTCTTTCAGCTACAAAATGCTATGGTACCACTTAAAACCATAAATGATATTCATTTCAGGTACTTCCTATGATTTAGTCTCATAAAGAGAAAGGTCCCAATTTTGTCTCTTTATCACCTAATTCCCTAGAAAGGCAATGCTAAGAACTATAGAGGAGTAGGTACTTTTATCCCATTCCTGACATTAACAAAGGAGGTCATTTTTTTCCTGCTCCCCCAAATCTTCTGTAGCACAAGAATTTGTTGCATTTTAAATAACTGCAATGCCTTTAAAAGAGTCCTTGGGAAACCATTGTGGATCAGGGCTTCCCAGCGGATTCATAGCAATTTGATGAGTAAATCATGAAGCTTACCTTACAAGTCTACACGCTATGATTGATAACACAAGTCCACCACCCAAAGCAAATTAAAAAAACCACACATGAGGAGATGGAATTTAACTCTCCCTTCTGAAAATACTGAATATTCCTAATCTCACCTTCAAACTTTAAATATCCACTCTTAGGCTTATATAGCAACCTCCACCCAGTAGTTTGAAAGCTCACTTTCTCTGACTTGGGAGAGAGAGTTGGAGGGTGAGGCATAGGAAAGGACCCTGTGGTTCAGGAGTGGACTAACCCACTGACACCACCTGTAATCTGCTGGACTGGGCCAGGCATCAGAGGCCTCGAAAACATCTTATAAATGTGTCCTGACTCTCAGCTTTAAACACTGGGGGCATGTTTCTGAATTCATGTGAAAAAGGTGTAAAATGTGTATTTTGCTCCCTTCATTCACTCAAGAAACATGTATTACAGCACCTTTTATGTGCCACTGTTCCAGGTGTGGGGGAACAGACATGAGTCGGACACAGATACTGGGAAGACCAGGTTCCTTGCTCCGCCCCCACCAGCCCCCAACCATGAACATGCCATGTCTTGCCTTGGCGTCATGCACAGAGGCATGTAACCTAGTGACCAGCTGGAGACTCACCTGCTCCCTGGTGTCTTCCCACAAGCACATCCGCTCCTGCCATGCAGCCCATTCCCAGGATGCAGACAACGATGCCGATGAAATGCACAGCCTTGTACCGGATCAGCAGGAAGAACCAGGAGAGCAAAATCACAACCGGGATCACAAAACAGTCCAAGAGCTATTGGGAGGGAGAGAGGCAAAAAACAGGAGTTCCAGGGGGAAATTTCCATGTAACAGAGAAAAATGGCTTAGCGCACTTGAAAGTGTTTTTCCCCTGAACCTGAGCTTCTGTGCAGACCCAGAACTGATGCAGTTAAAACAGACTCTGCAACAAATGCAGATTAGCTTTAACGAACATCCCCCAAGTCTTGAGGGAAAGGGGAGCCAATGGATACACAGACTGGTGGTGCAAATTCTCCTGTTCCTACTGTGCCTCCTGCCTTCTTCCTCAGCACCCCAGCCCACTCCTCTGAACACCTCCTGGGAGGAGAGAATACGCCCAGCCACTTTAGATGGTCCCACTACTATAAAAGTAACTCTAGGGATGGGAGGTGATGTTTTATAAAGTATTAGAACTGAGATGAAAGTTGAACTTAATTTATCCCAGACAAGTGTCTCCCCACTACCAGTAAAAGTTACTTTAATGTGCCCTTGAAATTTCACTCTTAAAAGAAAAAAAATTTGTTCTAAATGTAAAATACAAATATTACTCTTTACATAAATACTTTACAAATACTGTTGTAAGAAGGAGTAAGAAAGAGAGAGAAAGATGAACAGAGTATAGAAAAACGTCTTCAATATAATTTCTTAAAGATTTTGCACAAATAGGGAGAATCCATATTACACGGAAGTTCCAAGAGTTGGTGGAGTGTTCACCCTCATCATGTAGTGAGATGACGTGGTAAAATGAGACGACCTCTGGGCCAGGGGCCAGAATATCTGAGTTTGAGCACTACCTCCTTACAGCACGGAGACCCTGGGCAAATCACGAACTCAGGGGCCTTAATTTCCTGTTAGAATTATGAAGATAACTCCTATGGACTTTTCCCAGAGATCATAGTGAAGCTCAGCCATAACACATGTGAAAACATTCTGTAAATTATAAGAGCCTCAATGCTCGTCTCTAATCCTGCTTCCAAACACATGCTCTGGGCTCCACAGAACTGGTTGTTTGTACCGCACCTTGCTAAGATGTAGAGACCTTTGGATATTCCATGCAAGTCAGGGTCTCCACTAGACAAACTGATGCCCCACAGAACTTCAAACTCCAGGTATGAAATGAGAAACTGGTGATCTTGTCCCATCGCCCAGTACAGCTCCTCCTCACCCAGTCTCCAACAGGACACTAATCCCTGATATTCCTCCACTCTTACTGCCTACATCCTATTCATCCCCAGTACTACCAACTCTGTCTTCTAAACATCTCTCAAATCTATTCACACCACTATTACTTCTGCCACCTAGACTAAGCTCACATCCTCTCCCACCTGGGACAAGCACTTCCTTCCTGCCTTGGAGTCTTCACTCATGCATCCCACTCTTTCTGGAATGTTCCACTTCAATTCTTGAACTTCTCGTCTCCTCCTTTTTCTTCAGGCTTGTATATACTGCCTTCTTAAGACAGCATCTCAGGTCCCAGGCTAGATCAGTCCCACTTGATGCCTTCCTTGCATCGTGTACTTCTCCTTTATAGTGTCAATTATAATATGTAACTAATATGGAATTATCGGCATGTCTGACTTCCCCACTGGTCCAGAGGTCCATGAGCACAAGACTATGTTCCCACTACCCAGACCCTGCTGAGCTCATGAAACTATCCAATAATAGTTATTGAACAAGTACATACAAAGATTTTAAATGATCAGTAACATCAAAATGGAGTCTTCAAGATTCAGTAAAGGCTGGAAAATGTTTGTATGTTTGCAAAGCATCCCTGACCATTACAATGGCTTTTTGGCACTAGAAACAGTCCTCAGAATCCCCTGTCCCAAAAGCTTTCTGGGACTCGGGTAGGCCCCATGCAGGAGCATCAGTCTTCTCTTTTGCAAAATGGAAAAAGCAATCAGAATAATAAGCTGTCCTCAGGGGTGCTGTGAAGTGATGTGGCGATGAAGGCCATGTAAGTGCTGAATAACACCATGAAGGCTGGGGCTGAGCCCAGAGGTCCCGGCACTCCTGGAGCAGCTGTGTGTGTACAGGGGTGCCCACTGGTAGGACTGTACTGCAGCACGTGGTTGCTTACCACACAGTTAATTAGCAAGTTAATGATCCTATTTAATTTAATGTGGTGAAATGCTCTAAGGCAGGTTTTATGATCGGCCTCAAATGCCAGTTAAGCATAGTTGCAAATTTCATTTTACCAGTGGAAACTGTTCACTGGGCCTAAAACAGTTGGTGTTTTGTTTTAAACCTTAGAAATTATTGAATCAATGGTTGAAATATTTAGCTACATGCTATACAATTAGGATTTCATTTTGAAGGTCTCCATTCCTGAGTTACTGACGGCAAACCAGGCTATCATGCAATCTTTGGGGAGGGCGGAATTGGTTCTCAGTATCATTAGAAACCCAAAGCACTTGATGAGTACGGGGATCTATTCTCTTAATGGGTTGAGCTGAAAAAACCTTATTTGTATGTGTCAGGTGAACCTATGGCTGGGGAAGACTTTTAGAAAGAAGGGAAAAGATGGATAGAATCCAAGCCAAGGTTTCTGGGACATTTCAGCTAGGGAAGCTCGGGTCCAGCATACAGCAGGGAATCTATAATGGGTGGCTAAATGAATTAATGAACAGACATTTGGTGTCACTATCAGAAGGGACATTGGAGATAATTCAGGCTTCTTTGGAATTTTGGGTGAGATAACTCATTTTGCAGGATTGTTCATGCAGGGCGTTAAGCACTGTTGGGCCCCAGCCACTAACAAAATACTTCCGATTTACAGAGTTCCTCAGGGGTGACATCTCCCCAGTTTAGAATCACTGAGACTCCTTTATTTAAAAACTGGAGATTCAGAAGTTTCAGGAGATGAAGAAGCGATGTGCTGAAGAGCACTCAAATTGTCCGTATCAGTTCTGTCATGATTTTTTTTTGAACAATATTTTAATGAAGGTCAATGTGAGGAATTGCTATAAGTGGAATTCTAATAGTATCTGTAACTACAGAAAAAGCCACTTGGGAGCTGCTGTTAGTAAACAGGCTATTATTTTTTAGTGATTTTTGGCTCCAGCCTTTCGCCTGTGGTTAAATAGCATAAAATATACTCACAAAAT